TTACAATCACTTACTTGGCCTTCTTTTAAAAAAAATCTTAAATGCTTGATAAAATTTTGGATTTTTTTTCGATTTTTTCCTAGAGTTTTAATCTTTTTTCAAATTCACTCGATACTTCTTGAGCGACCTGCTGCTCTGATCAGCGGCGGATCTTGGATTTTCTCTCGGGGGGGGGGCGGATTTCCAAAAAATCTTCGAAATTTTGCGACCTTTCTTTAGGTCGACAGAATTGGTTTTCAGAGCTCTCTCAAAGCAATGAAAAGTCTCCGTTTGGCCAAAATTTCTGCGCCGCAGGTGAAATTTTGAAGAAAAAAAAACTGGTCAAAAAGGAGTTTTTAGGCACTTTTTGGAAATGGCGCGCGCTCCCCCTTAAAATAAGTATAAGTTGGCGCCAAAGGCGCCTTTAGAAAAATTTTAGGGTCCTTCAACCAAAATTTGATATCCATCGGAATTTTTAAACGCAATATTTTGTTGGTATTTGATTTTGTTAGTATAATTTTTAACCAGTTTTTATCGTCAATTGATTTTTATTTCGGTTCAAATTTACTTTACTTCGCTGTTTGTTTCTTTTACTCTGAACTTTTTCTTTTAGTTTTGTATAGTATTTTTTTGCATTTGCAATTCAAGTTTAAGAAGAATAATAGTGATGTGGTTTAAAGTAATGTGGTTTTTTCGTTTTTATACCCACCAAATTTTTCTTCCAGCGATGAAAAATTAACTAGATGACCGATAAGACATAACTAATAATATGTGTTGCAGGGGCGGTTTTATGGGGGGACGCCTCCTCCTCAAGGATTCGACCCCCTGGCGACCCAAAGGGTCCACCCTTTGTACTATTTTGAGATATTCGTTTTTTGGTGACGGACCCTCAAATTTTTTTGAAGGCGCCTTTGGCGCATATATATACTAATTTTGAGGGAAGAGTGCGCGCCAAAAAAATGTGATTTTTTGGTCAAAACTATCCATTTGGCCTGTTTTATCAACATCATGCCTACGGTTCAGAAAATTAGGCCTAACAGGGTCTTTTTAGTGCTTTAAGAGAGCTCTGAAAATCGTTTTGGTCGACCTTAAAAAAGGTTGACAAAATCTCCGCCCCTCTTTGAGAAAATACTAGATTCGCTCTTAGCACTACTGATAACACGACTATTTCATTAAATTATTTGCTTCATTGACAAGATTTTATCATACGAAAAATGAAATAGCTTGATTTAATAGTATATATGCGTCTACTAGCATGCCAAAAGTAAGTATTCTATTTGACTAGATGAAGATAGTTCAATATCGGACATTAGAAGCGATACTAAGACTGTTATTTATGTCACCCTGTGAGCTATGGTTCATTGTTTTGTGTGACGTATGCCCTCAAGCTCATTACCAAACAAATAGTGCTTCAAAATCAAATAAATCTTCAAATTTTCTGACAAATTTTAGAATTAGAAAACAGAAGCTCGAATTCATTATCTAAAATGATCAAATCAATCATTAATATTATCTTAAATCTGTTCCACTTGATGCTTGATCGAATTTGATGATTGATCGAAGTACTCTGAAAACAGTTGAGACTTTCTAATAACTGTTTTTTCAATAAATTTTTTCAGGGCCCTCAAAGAAATTTTATTTAGAATCTCAACAAGCATTGTGTTTTTGGCAAATTGTTGGCATAAACCAAAATTTTATCTAGCATTTCGAAGTTGGCACTTGGTTCAAACGTGATCGACCTCCAGCTTTGCAATTTAAACAAGCAAACTTCAGATTACGCGGATTTATTTTGACCTTTGATACTAATAGTTTCACTGAGGCAAACATTATTCTTCACTCTGTCATACTTTATTTGAAATGCATTTATCGATTCCCGGAAAAATAAATTAGCGCTCAGATTTAATAAGGTAACCAGTCCGAGTTTTAAAAAATTCCAAATTTCATGTCCCTTTGTTTTCCCGACTTTAGTAGGCAGTGACAAAAGTTTTGTGCTCGAGTGATTTTTGCGAGGTCAAATTTCGACTTTAAAACTTTAACTAGTCATGCAAGTTTTCATAAAGTCTGTAAGATTAACTTTCTGAGCTCAAAATTCAAAGTTTAATTCATTTGTGATCTTTTTTGCAAAATTATGCAGGCTTGAAAACTGCCTATTTTGGATAAAGACTGCTCGTATCAGGGCAAAACCCTGAGTATTCTGACGTTCCATAAACTGTTCTCGAATAATTTTCGGTTAATGAATTATTGACAAACTATGAACTTTGAACTGAATATTAGAAATCTTAAATGAAATTAATAAGACCAAATAGACTGCCTCAACTGAATTTGGAACAATTTTGTCGTGCGGGATAATTCTTCACGCATAAATAATGCGCGTTAAACTTTCAGCATTAAACAATCACAGCGCTCTTAAGGTCGCGTTAATCTTTTAGTGAGCGTTTCACATCAATCGTTCAATCAGGAAAGTCTAGTGGTAAGCATGGTTCTACTGCAACCAAGAAAACCCATGGATTGATTCTCCGAGGGAAATATTTTTGAGAGTTGGTCTGAATAAAAAAACTACCTCGAGCATATATATTCCTCACTTTCTTCGAAAGTCGGAACAAAACACCAAGCATAAAAATTCAGTTCGGAACAATAATCACTTTTTTAATACACTTTACCGTTTCGGCTTTCGAAGAAGGTAAGGAATATGTATGGTTGCGCTGTTTTTTCATTCAGACCAGTTTTTTTTAAAGATGAGTCTCTCAAGAGGTCGTTCGCCGGCTCTCCAAACTCTCCGGTGGTTTTCTGCAGCACTATATTAGGCTGACACTAAGTCTAGCTTAACTGCTCATCTTATACTTTGATAGTGACAGAACAACGCGCATTCTTTACGCGTGGCAAATTTATCCCGCTCGACGAAACTGTTTCAAGTTCAATAGAGGCTAAGCCAATCGATCTTATTAATTTTATAGACGACTTAAGCTTCAACGTTTACACGTCAATACTACCAGCCTAAAATTGATGCTTTGTCAATATTTCATTAATTAAAAACTATTGGAGACCAATTAATGGGCAGTCGGAACATTCAGAGTTTTTGCACCCATACGAGCAACCAACCCTTGTTCTCAGAACGCGTAAGCTGCGAGGTAATTATGATCGTAAATCGTTTCCAAGTAAAATGATGCAAGTTCGTTGCTTTTTGTCGTTGATGAGTTACTAAATGGGAGTTAAATCGCTTTTTAGATAGCGTGTAGGGGTTGTTTATCTCGGACAACTTCATTGACCAAAAAAGGCAGCCCGACATTCGGCGCCCTGTGTTGTTACAGTCAGTCCTGCTCATTTTGCTATAATAATGCTGGCTGGTGAGTTTTGCTTCAAACGAGTGGCTTTATTGTTTCATATGCCCATACCAAGTAATCTGATACCACTAGGTAGTTTTAATGGCGGTTTATGAACACATTTACTTGACTTTATGAAGTACGTGTATTAAATCACAGCTTGGTCCGAACAAAAGCTCAAAACTTTGCACATTCAGACGAGACCCAAAATAACAAGTTTGCCCGTATCAAGGCGAAGCCCTGAATGTTACGATTTCCACTTAAAGTCAGTGAAAACTTTGCAAATAAAACTGAACAAAAAAACTAGCTGATATTTTTTTTCTCATTTTGGCTTTTTAGATAATGGTTTCAATTGATTCAAAAAATGTATGATTTTGCATTAATGGGAAAAATCAAAAAGAGCGATAAGGTCAATTATGATTGGTGCTTAAGCAGGGTCTTAATGTGGAATTGCAACTAAAGCATTGATTAGTTCAGCCCACAATTTGCTCGCTTCAAAATTTAACGAACTTGCAAACCAGCCTGAAGATGAAAGCATTAACTTAACTTAAAGGCTTTTTCAAAGAAATGGAACAAGTGGTTTTTGGGTTAAACACAGTGACAACATTTTTTCTAAAACAACCTCAATTTTTTTTGAAATTCCATGGATCATAATCAATTATAATTCGTATTCACAAATTTTGCCCTTATATTTACAATCCTTTCAAAATTTCTGCACTACTCGTGGCCTAATTGGTTTTTAAACGTACTCATTTTTTATTTTTTGTAGAAAAAAAACATCTCTCAAAAAATAAATTTCAACAAAATCCGTGAGGCCAAAAACTGATAAAGGTTGAAAAAACGCAGCAAAAATTAGGAAACTAAAATGAAATTGTATACGAAAATAAGTGAAGTTATGAAAAGACAACAGAGAAAACAAGACAATCATTTTGAACCAAACAAGACTGCTCGTATATCAGGACAAAGCCCTGAATGCTCCGACTGTTCCTTAATTCATATACAAAAGTTTTTGGAAAAAGAAAATATTGAAAACTTTTAAATTTTAGACAAAAACAAAGTGCGATCTGATTAACAAGCCTAAACTCTATTTGGAACGATTTTGTTGTGCGGGATAATTCACCACGCATAAACAATTCGCATTACGCTCTCAGCAATATGAATAAAATTCTTCAAAGCGCGCTTAATTTAGTCCATAACATGGCCAATTTGGCAATTTTCAAACCCCCAAAAATAAGTGGAGGTAAAATGTCTTTTTACATTTGAACTTAAGAAGTCGGTATCTTCAATAGGATATTAAAAAAATTTGTCAAAAACTACTATCTCGATCGGCAAAAACTGACTAAATAAAAAAACCACACCAAGCATAAATATTCTGTTTTCTTCGAAAGTCGGAATAATAAAATTCACATAGAAAAATTGAACGGCTGTCCACGGAAACAATGCTCAAGTTTTGAAATTAAAGAAAACTGTTTGCAT